ACACACATGTCCACACATGCACACACTGCAAATCATGCACACACACATTCATGCACACGTGCATATGCATCCACACCCATACATAGAGATGCACACACATGTCCACACATATATACACACGCACCACACACAGGTGCACATCCACATATACACATGTGCAACCTTACATATGCACACATCCACGCACACAAAACACACAAAACACACGCAGACACACATATGCACACATGCGTGTACAAGCACACATGAACACACATGCAAGCACACACATACACGTGTTACAATCCACAGTGCACGCACAATGCATGCTATGCACATACATGCCCACACACATACATACCACACACGTCTACATGCTTGCAGAGAGACACTGTACTCAGGAGATGCTTGGCTCTGCTGGACAGTGGGCCCCCCTGTGTCCCTGGCCTTCAAGAAGGCCATACTCTCGGGTCCCCTAGCTCCTAATCTGCAGGGTGGCTGGGCAGTGGGCCTCTCCCACCCTTCTGCTGGCCCAGAACTCTGGCCATCTCTTCGCCTTCATCTCATCCACAACCATGGCCCTCCCATGGCGATGACCAGCATCTCCTTCTTGCGTGACCTCCGGCCTCCATGACCTTGGCTAACTCCCGCTGTCTCTGCCTGAGGCCCACACTTCCTGGGGTCAGTAGGATGTCTGCTGACCCTGGAGCCTGTCTCTCCGTGTCGTTGCCTCTCTGTGGCCGGGCTCTATGTTCTTTGGTCCCAGCCTCCCTGTCTGCCGGCAGCCCAGCCACGACCCACCCCTGCCTCTTCCCTCTGTCCTTGGGCTTTCCACGGCCCCGCCATCTTCCAAGCTTCCCCAAGAGGCAAGCTTCAGATCCCGTCTCACTCTTCCCCCCCCCCCGAGGCCAGGTGCTTCTGCTGGGGCCTTCCCCCCCCCCCCCCTTCTGCTGCTGCCATCACTGTCCTGCTGTCCAGCTCCCATCTTGGCTCTGCTGGTCACAAGCCTCCCCTGGCTCCCCAGCTCCCACCAGAGCACACAGGACGGGCATCATGCCTGTCAGAGGCCTCCACGGTCTCCAGGGCTCAGATTGGTCTTAAGAAGAAGCTATGATGGTGTCTGGGAGGCCCTGAGGACAGAGCCTGGCTCTCCTCTGCCCTGTCCCCTCTCAGTGCCCCAAACGGGGGCGGGGACAAGATCTCCAGCCCCTTCCAGTGGCCTGACAGTCATGACCCTCCATCACACTCCCCTCCTGGAGTCCCCTCCTTCTAACTGGGAGCTCCTTGGGAACAGGGACAGGGTGTTTGGGCACTGGCTGGGTCCTGGGCTCACCCAAAAAGGCAGACGGTGACACCGTCCCGTTGCTCCTGGCCACCATGACACTGATGCCTGTCTCCACGAAGGGTACGGAGAAGTCTACGATTTCTGACCTCTCCTCATTGATGGTGAGGGAGCCAATGGCCATGTCTGCCCGCTGGTAGAAGACCTTGACCAGGAGCCGGCCAAAAGAGAAATCAAAGAGAGGGGGATAGGGGAGGCAGGAGGAGAAAGAAGAGGGGGAAAAGGGAGGATGAGCAGGGAGAGCAGAAAGGGGAGAGGAGAGAGAAGGGGTCGAAGGCAGAAATGAAGGAAAATCAATTGGATGGAGGACAGCAAAATGGGGGCTCAGAGAGCGAGGATGGGGGCTGGGCATGGGGGGCCCCTGCCCCTCGTCAGGGCGACGATGGGGGCTGGGCGTGGGGGGCCCCTGCCCCTCGTCAGGGCGAGGA